TTTCTGATCACACACTCACAGCACATACAAAATGTTCTGGCAATTAAATACCTACCTAAACTATTCGAGGATGTGGCTTGTACCATCAGTCTTTTTACTGATGAACCTCTTGCGGAAGACGTAGACAAGCTGGTGCTAGAAACTTTTCCTCCTCCACCCTAGGCAAAGCCAAAGGAAGGAAAACCAGCGCTATAAGACCTGCCTGAAAAAACACAACAGTTTGTTAAAATCACATATGCTTGTATCAGAGTACCGGACTTAAAAACAGGAGAAGCTGAGGCTAGCCTGACCTGAGTGAGACCAGTAAGGAAAACCAAAAGACCTGTCAAGCTCGAGAGTGGAACAAACCACCACCGCCTGAGTGTGGAAGTCACCCTTCCTCCTAATATAACGTTGGAATGGCTGAACTGGGCCAGAGCAAGTGCAATGGTTACACCTCCTGACAACACGCCCTTCCGCTCTGGCGGCCTGTGGCTCGGGGGCTTCCTCTGCTTTCATGTAACTGTCCTCACCGGGGCCGAGAAGCAACAGGAAAAATTCACAGAATAAACCTTGCAATCCAGCCCCAAGATGCAGAACTAGCAACAGGAAAGGAAAATCTGTACGTAAGAAAGCCCGGGAGCTGCTGGCCTCAGGAGACCTCAGGATTCAAAGAGGCAGCGCGTCAAGCACAAACCTGAAATGCAGACTTGCTTGGCCACATTCTTTTCCATTGATAATCCTGGTAATTCCTCTGAATGGATTCATATTATTTTGCCTTGAAGCTCTGCTCCGGTTTACACATTAAAAACTTCACCTTCCTGTAAGGCCAGGTAGGATGTAACTAAAGATGAGGCAAATATGAAAATCTTTAGGATATAGATTTGGTATATGCCTATTCAAACTTAAGATTTTATTTAAAAACATATGGCCAAACTCTTCCTCTGCCTAGGGCTGTGCAGACCAGACTCCGCTTAGGATAAATTTGGAGAGAAAGAGCAATGACTCCAAAATGGCTCTCAGCTCCTCATAATACCACCCACTGCTCCATTCCACATCTTCTCATGTCTCATTTAGGAATAAGTATCTTATTTTGACAAGTTGCGGAGCTCACTATTTTAAAACTTTCCTTTCTTCTAGCAACTGTCCTGCTTCCTCAATCCCTTTCACTTTCTTTTTCATTTATTTTTAATAGCAGAGATATTGAACTACTGAGAAACTGTATTTTCAATTTCCTTCTGGTACTAACTCTTGTGCTTTGGGGACATAGTTGCCCTTCCTAGCTATACTGTGACTCCATCTGCATTCGTTACTGTTAACATCCAGAACAACTGTCACCCTGCAATTTAAAGTAGCGGCCTGTTTTTTTAAGATTATGGCAGCAAGGAACACAAATATTTTTGTTTTATACATTTATGTGACCCAAGTCAGGTATTTGGAAAGATTGTCCTGAACGGTAAGGAGAAAAAGTCTCTTCAAAAATTCAAACAGCGCTGAAAAGGAAAAAGAGCAGGGTATTGGAATCATTAAATAAATTACAAAGTTTCAAAGACTTAAAGAATACTACAAAATAATCACTTTTTCCCTACTTTGCTAAGAAAGACTAGGTACAGTCACAAAGACTGTATAACCAAAATGTTAGCGTGGAAAGAAACAAAATCTGAGTGTATACATTAAGTGATTGTCTTATATTTATTCATTAGCTTAACCCTTGCAAAAACAAACAGAACCAAAACCCACTTACTAACATATAACAAGACTGTAAAACTCCAACATCCCTTTATAATCCATGTTTTCCTAGACAGAGGCCCCAGTCCTCAAAAAGTGAAGATTAAAGTAAAATAATAACAGAAAGAGACATATGAGACGAAAAGGATATCAGGGAACAGGAAGAACAGGGCTACTCCATGACAGGGGCCGAGCTGGGAGCTGAGGGTGAGGCCAGTGCAGTCAACGCCCTCACTAACCAGGGCACAGTCTGACTGCATGTGGACAAAGCAGGCAAAGCTGGGTGCTGGTAACATGGTCCATCAAGAGCCCCAGGCATGGCAAGTCTGGGGAGTCCAGTCAGGAGCAACAGGAGTCGGGTGCAGAGACAGGACTAGAGGACAGGCGGGTCCAGGGTCCATCCAGGAGACAGGGCTGGAAACAGAACTGGAGACAAGGCTACAGCACAGTTTCCGTGTCTATCCCAGAGACAAGGCCGGAGTCAGGGACACCTGCAGACACTGCTCAGGCCAGGACTGAAGCTGCTCAGTGCAATTAAGGCCAATTAATGTCCTCAGGGCCCTGACAAAAGATCATTTACATAGGACACGCTTTAATACAGTCTACATACACTGACATTGAACAAGGCGCTGGTGGTATGAAAAGCCTCCTTAAACAGTGGTACTGTTTCTGGATTTTGGCTTATCCATTTATTACTGTTGTTTGGGTTTTTCAACCACTTGTGCGTCTTTTCGGTAATGTGAAATGATCTGAATGAGTATGAAGCTATTAATGAAAAGGAAAAGCAAGCCTGCCAACCATATAAGTAAAAAAGTGTTATACCCTTTAAACTCCAGGAAGTATGCAGGAGCAAGCCACAGGCCCTGTCCAACAAACCACAAAGAGAGAAGCAGTACACCACGACGCCAGGACATCCTAATACTAGGTATTACAAGGGGCAAAAGGCAGAGATACCACACAAAATACTGGGACGTGCATACTTTGTTAAAACTCACAAAAACAGCAGTGTGTAGGAAACAACAGAAGGCAAGGTCTCTGTAAAACGCTAAGGACACAACCAAGAGCAGAAGCAGCTGGGGCAGGAAGGCTGCGAGCCCAAGGACAAAACTCCATTTGCTCTCTGCAGTTAAATACAACATGTAGAAATAGGGAGAGAAGTTATGACGGATATCCCTCCTGGTCAGGTGGTAGAGGTAGGCATGCTCCAAAAACTCCCAGCCGTAGAGGTAGTAAAACGCAATGGTCAGGGCAGCCAGCACAGATCCAGCAACTGTTCCAAAAAGCAGCACGTCACGGTTTAGAAAAAGCTGCCAGAGGTACCCTACTGAAGGAAACCTCGCTTTTCCGCGGCGCCCCGCGCCCGTGGCCCCTTTGCCACCGTGCCTCTTGCTCTGCAGGTGAAGCGCGATGGGCAGCGCGTAAGTCAGCGGGTATATTTTCACGTGCACGGCGAGCCCGTAGCAGGCGGCAGCCTTGCCCAGGCTGCCACCCTCCACGTAGTACAGGGCGGCGAGCACCAGCAGGGCCACCAGGGCCTCGGCGTTGCCC